CCCCAAAACCCCAAAACCCCAAAACCCCTTGTTCCAGTAAATTTAAAATTGAAAAGTGGCCTTAAATCTTGATTATATTGAAATACTAATTAATTTTGAAGTCGGGTCACTCAATCATTTTTCAAAAGCGATGAGAATAAAATAGATAATCCATTTCCAATAGCATCCACCACATCGCCATTTTTATTCTATGCTACTAGATCATTATCCTCCATGTCGTAATCACCACCATGGCCTTCATCTCTGTCTTGAAGGTTATTCAAACCCTGGCCAATCTTTTAAAGTTCTTCTTATAGATCAATAAGGCTTGTAATATTCTTAGGCTTAGGCAGCATCTCGGATATGAATTAATCAAAACAGAATTAAAGAGAGGGCATCCCAATAAAATCACTCTGACTTATAATCTTATCTGCCTGGTCAAGTCTCTGAATCTGAGTCTCTTGATAGTTAATGAGTAGAGCTCGCTCTTGTACGTCAGACATGCGTCTATCTTACTTCTGCTGGATGAATCCATAATCAGCTTGCTTCAAGTCCTAAAGCTTATTCTCAGTCTCCTAGATTTTTATGTCAATACTTAGTCTTCTTGTCTAAGCAACCTTTTTGAGTTGAAGTTTATCTGCTCCTAAGTATACTCTCTGAAGCTCCTGATTTTTAGTTATGATTAAGATGTATGAAAGTGGATTCACATCGCAAGCCAGGAATTTGATGAAAGGCAACTAAGATTTCCAGTACATAACAAGGTTCTATGGTCTTGAGTACTAGAATAAAAGGATGCTATTAGACATCTATTAGGAGTCATCCTCTGAGTTCATTGAAATCATGAATTAGTTTTCTTTCTGGTTGTTATTTGAAATATCGCTAACTGATGCAAAGTTGAGATCCCACCAATGCTTTTCTCTCTCACCTTTAGTTTTCCAAACTTCAACACCACCATTTACACTTAAGGAGGCTAGGAATCTATGACTTGACTCGAATACAACCTTTTTGCTGTCTTCATTAAGTCTGAATGAGTAAACGAATCTATAGTAATTATCCTAGTCCCAATAAGTAAGAACTCCACCCTCGTGCAAAATGACCAAGCATCTCTTAGCTTTAGCTGAGTCACTCATTCTAACTTTTATCTCGCTTAGAATCTAAACAGCCTCTAGTTCTTGATAATCAAACTGATCTTATATAATCCATTATTTTCCATCCTTTTCGTAATTCCATACTTATATTTGGCTTCCATTGCTAGCTACAATGGAGGTATTATTTACTGCATGCAGAAGTATTTTTTGATTTTGTTTCAAGCATGGATCATGGACAAGCTAGATCATTTAGAAATCATTGATATCAGAAGTGACTTGCTCTCTATGCCAAAACTTCAAAGCCTAAATCTAGATGCTTTTATGCTGATTATCAACATCTATGAGTTCCTCGAAGGTCACTAAATTCTTTTGATCAGGTGTAATACAGAAGCTAGAAACATTAGTCTATATTTCATTTGCGTTTTTATCTTAAGATACATAATTTCTTTGCTTGATTTTGAGAACTTACGCTTGAAGTTAATCACCTTGAACCAAATCATTAAAAAGTAAGTCACCATTTTAAGCCAAGATAAGATTATTACCTGCAACTTGGACGTCTTTGTTGCTCTCAAAACTGAGGTTTCTTACATCAACCACTGTCTTATTGTTATCAAATCTAATGACCTTGAGAGAGTTATCCTTGAGGGTTAGGGAGTAATATTGCTGGGATGGATTAGATAAAGAGATACTTTAGATGCTGTTGCCGATTCTACTGATAAATGTCTTGTTTTAGGTCTCTAAGTGCCATTAAACAATTACACCTTCATTTCCTACACTAAGCAGGTAAGGAGTAGATGGGATAAAGACAAGGCTATTTACTCTGTTTGAGTGCCAGTGAAGAGTTTAAATAACAGTCGAGCTATTTTTGCTTTTTTGAGAATTGATGTGGACTAAATAGATTTTACCATAGTCATCTCCCAACGATATTATAGTGCCTTATTCATTAATTGCCACTTCTCTGAGTAAGGTCTCTCTCTAAATGACCTTTACTTGCTGGCTTTTGTCATCGAGGTCTATGATATTTAGGTTTCTTCCCTTGATATAAGCTGCGTACTGTCTTGATAAGGCAATACCATTTACTTGGCCTATTTAGCTATTGTTCTCATGATAGGTGTTCAATAGATTCTTGGAAAATGAATCGAAAAGCTTAATAGTCTTTTGCTATGAGTCATAAACAATAATGTGATCTTGAATCATTTATGCATGCTTGATTTTACCACAATTTTTCAACTATCAACATAAAGATTTCATTAATCTACCTCATAAATGTTTATTAGCTGACCTTAAGATGGATTCCACTCAGCCATAATCCCCCTGGCGCATAAACTCAAAATCTATCAAAATTATTAGGAATATCTTTAATACCTTGTCTTCTTAAAGATGAATAAGCACAATATTAGCTTTATGCACATCCCCTTTGATATTCTTATCTGAAGCACCCTCATTAATCTATCTCTTAGATCTCAAGGTATGAGTCTTAATCCCAGTTGTTAGAGAGTATATATTGATCTGATTACCACAGACTGCATATATCTGATCAGCTGACTCACTAATTATTGGAGCTACTTTGTGGCTGAACTGAGTAGATATCCTTTTGGATATAATGCAAGAAGGAGGATGAGCTTTAACCTTTTTGGGTTTGGTCTCAGTGGCAGCAGAACCACTCATTTTTCTATCAACACTCATAAATATTTAATACTTAATAGCATTTATTACTCATATTTAAGACTATGGGGTTTTGGGGTTTTGGGG